GCTCCTCTGGCTCCTCTGGCTCCCCTGGCTCCCCTGGCACGCCTGGCACACCTGGCACGCCTGGCAGTCCTGGTACCCCAGGAACACCTGGAACTCCGGGTACTCCTGGTTCTCCTGGTTCTCCTGGGACACCTGGTACACCTGGTACTCCAGGCACTCCTAGCACACCTGACACAGAAGAAACCCCTGGCACTGATAGCACTCCTGGTACTCCATCAGGTATTTGAATTGCTGCAATTATGTATAGTGTTGTAAATTCAAAGTAATAGACACCGCACTACAGATTTTATGTTCTTTGTAGGAACACCTGGAAGTACATCCGTACCAGGAACATGTACACAGGAAGGATTTTTCCCAGATCCTGAAAATTGCCGCAAGTTTTATCGCTGTGTAGGCGGTAATTCTTCATTCATCAAATATGAATTCGAATGTGGCGCTGGGACAGTATGGGATCAAACTATAGAAAGTTGTAATCATGAATCAGCTGTCCCTAGCTGTAAGGGGGGATCGAGCACGTCTGGTTCTTCAAGCTCTACGGATTCTTCCAGTAATCCAACCGATGTAACGACTAGCCAAACAGGTACATCTGAAACTGAAACAAGCACAACATCATCTGCACCATCATCTAGTAGTCCAGCACCTCCTTCCTCGACGATTCCCCCATCGTCGAGCAGCACAACCACTGCACAACCAAGCAGTTCAACGACACTCGCTTCTACCGCTGCTTCATCGAATAGTCCAATCATTTCCACAACAAGTTCAACTTCTTCGGCTGCTCCTTCATCCACAACTCAAACCAGCACAAGCACTGCTACGACCATCGCTGCAGACCCTACGGAATCCTCGTCGCCTGAAAGCACAATAACATCTAGCGCACAATCAACCGCGTTGACCACTCCATCCCCAGGGTCATCGCAATGCACGCAAGAAGGTTTCTTCCCTGACCCTCAGGACTGTCGGAAATTCTATCGATGTGTCGGAGGCAACTCTACCTTCATAAAATACGAATTCGAATGCGGCACCGGAACAGCCTGGGATTCGAGCGTTCAAAGCTGCAATCACGAGTCTGCTGTTCCAAACTGCCGTGGTGGATCTAGCACGCCTAGTTCATCGACCTTGAGCGATTCGTCCTTAGAGGAACTCGATGAAACTACTAGTCTACCAACCACGACTGAGGCAGCCACAACTGCACCATCATCAACCAGTTCAGCACCTTCCACAGCAGCCTCGTCAACAACTGCCTCATCGTCAA